GGCAAGGAGCATGCCAGCAGTTAGTCAGTTACACAGGTAGGCAGTCAGTCAATTACACAGGTAGGCAGTCACTCAAGCTATCACTTAGGCAGGCTGGCAGTCACTCGGTCATTCACGCACTCACTCACTCACACTCCCTCCCTCCCTCACTTAGGCAATCACTCACACACACACACACTCAGAGACAGGCATTCACACAAGCAGTGGACGCCTCACCACTCACTATCAGTAAGGGGGCGGATCCGTCACACAGAAAGACGGGCACTCAGGCAGGCAGGCAGGCAGTCACACAGTCACACAAGCACTGGACTTCACGCCACTATCGGTACGTCAGCAGACCACCGTGGTAAACATCCTGTGCGTGGTGACGTCGCAGTTGATAAATTACTGAAGAAGGAAACACAACAGTACAGCGGCGTATTATAAGTCACCCTACGAGTTTAACCTCCGATCATCTTCCGACCTTTCTTCCGATCCGCCTCCGACTTCCGACCAACCCTCTACCGTATGCCGATCATCTTTATACTACGTCGTGATTCTCTCTCTCTCTCTCTCTCTCTCTCTCTCTCTCTCTCTCGTATAAAGGTTAAATGGAGCTTTATAAAAGGGTTGAATCCGATTAATGTTTTCTTTAGGAGGACGATCGTGATCTTAACCCCAAAGGTGGGTTTACAGAGGTGACAGATCATCCCTTACTGACCTTTAAGCTTTGGTGTACATCAGGTCAGGGTTTATGTAAGGTCAGGGTTTACATCAGGTCAGGGTTTACATCGGGTCAGGGTTTACATCAGGTCAGTTCCAATGTTTGTCTTGTATTATTAACGCCTCATTTCTTCTTATTACAGGTAAGTTTGATGACAGGTGGCCTGACCAGGTAACGTCGACGTCTACGAAGGTGTCTTAATAGAGGTGTCATAATAGGGAAGGTGTCATAGTACAGAAGGTAATGGAACTGCAGCTACCATGGCTTCACAAGTGGGCGTTCATGTCTTACAAGTCTGTTATTATTCTTTTCAACTGTTTTCGAATCAGTGGCCGACGGACACGATTATGATGTGGTATACCTCAACTTTACCAAAGCCTTCGACAGGGTCCCCCATGAAAGACTAATACGTAAAGTCGAGGTACATGGAATTGGAGATGTTCTAAACTGGATTAGGGCTTGAGTACAGGACAGGAAAGAGAGGTACTCCACTAGTGACGTCACTAGTGGAGTACCCCAAGGCTCCGTACTTGGATCATTACTATTTATTATATACAAAAAAGACATAGATATAGGCGTAGACAGCAACATAAGTAAATTTGCTGATGACACTAAAACAGGGCGTGTAATTAAATCTGACGAGGTCTCCGCAAAACTACGTGAAGATCTAAAAAAAAAAAAAAGATCGCATGGTCTAGTCTAGGAGATGTAAACAGAGAAACCAGATATTAATTGAACAACGTTGTTATAGAGAAATCCGACTGTGAGAAAGATTTACAGGTAATGATAAGTATGAATTTTAAACCAAGACAACAATGTGTATTTGCTCGAAACAAAATTAACAAAGTACTTGGATTCATCCAAAGGAGTGTAAGTTACAAGACTAGCGAGGTTATTCTAAAACTATATGTCGTGCTTGTGAGACCTCACTTGGATTACGCAGTTCAGTTCAGGTCACCGTACTACAGAATGGTTATAGAATCCTTGGAAAGCGTTCAAAGGAGGATATGATAAGGCGATATGATAGAGGTGTGTAAATGGAAGTCAGGGCTGAACACAGGGGACATTACCAAAGTACTCAAACTATCCAACCAGGAGCGAACTTGTAACAATGGTTTTAAATAAGACAAATTTAGATTTAGGCGCAAAATAGGTAAACACCAGTTTGGAAATAGAGTAGTGGACGAATGGAACAAGTTACCAAATATCATCATTAACTCGAATATGCTGGATAGCTTCAAACATAGGTTGGATGGATATATGAGTGATAGTGGTTGGGTGTAAACGGTGCTGGCCAGTATGGACGAATAGGCCCGCTGCAGTTTCCTCCATTTTTATGTTCTTATACCTACCCAACTTCTCTCCCCTCCCTCCACCATCATCCCTACCCCCACCCCACCCTTCCCTCCACCACCACCCGTCCATCCCTCCCTCCTTCTCCACTTCTCTACCGCCATCTCTTCCTCTCCCCACATCCTTCCTCCCCTTTCCTCACCACGTTCTTCATCATATAATTTCCTTGTTCCTCTTTCTTCGTACTCTCTCTCTCTCTCTCTCTCTCTCTCTCTCTCTCCAGAATAGTTGCCGAGAAATGGAGATCTGAGAACTGAAAAAACGAACGGGAGTTTTTGGTGGAAATGAATGAGATTTCCAGTTTTTTTGTCAGTTCTTATAATATCAAATGTTCAATTCCAGCGGTGAAATCATTACTAAAAACAATGATATATTTTTAGAATTCTTGAATGGCCAATTTAATATTTGTTTATATAGAGTAAGCCTCCTGCCTCAGCGATTCGTGTCGATAAGGTGGATTGTCAAGCTACCAGAATTTCGTGGATAGGAAATACAGAAGCCGCATTTGTTTTTTTTTTCACTCCTGATTCTCATTCTTTGTCTTCTCGGAGTGTGACTACTGTGCCTGGGATCGAGGTTGTTCACGTAGGTCTGAGAAATGAGAGGCGGAAAATTTGACCACTGTAAGAATGTAGGAAAAATGGCACCGGAAAAAATAACACAGGAAAAAATGGCAATAGGAAAATATGGCACCAGAAAAAAAGGCATAATCACCAGACTATGAAAAAATGTCACATTATTTTTTGTTGACATGTTTTCGCTAAAATTTTATAACGTTTGTTACTGAAACTTACTTGGAGTTATATCAACGTCATAATATTAAATGTTTATTGCCTTTAACTGAAACATTCTACCGTATGTTAGTGAAAACTCGTACAGAAATGAATTACAAAATTAAAAATGTCACTTTGCATATTATTGCCTAAGATTTCCGACGACTGTTATAGCCAGCGCCTTGCACAAACTCTTGGACTGACTTGCGACTAGCTTGGCGGTCCTGGTAGAGGGTCTTCAGCCTTGTCTGGAGGTTAAATTTGTACCTGTGTATATTGATATTTTTTCAAGGAAGTAAAAATCTGGAATCTTAAATCTGATGAAAAATTATGGGTAAGGGGTATTGTGCTTCCCCTGAAATCTGTACTCATTCCCGATTACATCATAAACCCCTCCCATCACCACCACAACCACACCATCACCACAACTCCACCATTACAACAATTTTACACTGCCACTCTCTCTCTCTCTCTCTCTCTCTCTCTCTCTCTCTCTCTCTCTCTCTCTCTCTCTCTCTCTCTCTCTCTCTCTCGGCTGGGAAGCACCTCAAGATGGGGTGAACTTTGATCTGTCATTTCCTCTGCCCTAGTGCCTGCACGTTGAGGGGCAAGGTGAGGTTGTGGTGATGAGGAGAGAAGAAGGTCGCCCAGCAACAAGAGTAATCCTATGATAAGACGTTTACGTAATGGAGTGTCGTAAGGCGAGGTTTTGGGTCTGTCAGTGTTTAATGAAGGTGACGGAGTGTGAAAAGTTGACCCAGATGCCGAGACCTCCTCCTCCTCCTTCCCGGCCTTGGGGCATGTTAGTGGGACGACGAGGAGGAGGATGGAAGGAGAGGGAGGGGTAGTTTGGAAAGAAGAGGAGGAGAGGAGGGAGGGAAGGTAGTATGGGAAGGAGGAGGAGACGAGGAAGGGTAGAGAAGAGGTAATCTGGAAAGAGGAGGGAAGGGCAGTGGAAGGAAGGAAGAAGGAGAGGTAGTCTGGAAAGTGGAAGAGGAGGGAGGAGTCTATGGTAGCCCACTTTACGTATCCTGGAAAAATAAGTGTAATGTAAGGTGTAAGTGTACCAGGTGTAGGTGGACGAACAGAGGGTATCCATAAGTGTCTTGTAATTAGGTGAAGTGGCCTCCCCCCCCCCGTGACATTATCCATCATCACACCTCAGGTAGTCGGCAGCTTTCTCTAATAAACGTATGTGTGTGTGTGTGCGTGTGTGTGTGCGTGTGCGCGTGTGCGCGTGCAGATAAAAGCCCCCTTGGACAAAAAAAAACCCTAGACAAAACCCCCAGTTAAAGTACAAAGTAGGTTGGGTTGGGTTTGGTTAGGTTAAGTTCGATTAGGTTAGGTATATAAATTGTTAACTGTAAATAATAAAGAATAAAAATAATTATATACAAATTCTTATTATTATTTGTCCTTGGGGGCTTTTGTCCAAGGGGAGCTTTTGTCTTAGGAGAATTTTGTCCGAGGGTGATTTTGTCTTTGTAAAGATGGAAAAGTAACGATATTTGTGGGGGGGGGGACTGTACCTGCCTCTTGGTGATGGTGATGGTGGTGATGGCGGCGACGGTCAGTGTTGATAAATTACAGTTGTGTAGTGAACGACTCGCTGAATATTATTGTGAACCTAAATTGTGTTTATACCTGATGAATCATTGTAAACCTGCATGATGATTTTACTCCATCTCTATCTGTCTATCCGTCCGTCCTCCGTCCGTGTACAATCATCCAGTAGTTAATGAGAGGAAGCCTTGTTAGGACACGTGTTGCAACTAGCCATTACTTAACGGAAGCCACCTTGGATTTTAATTTGGTCTCGCCGAATGAAAACGTCGGAAAAAAGAAATAGGAAATTAGCTCAAATTTCTAAGTGTGAGTTAGTGTAAAGAAAAATGCAACTTTTGTCCTAGGGTGATTTTGTCCGAAAAGGATTTTGTCTTAGAGGGCTTTTGTCCCACACGGGAGAAAGAAAGAAAGAGAGAGACGGTGCTTTCATGTTCTTGTTAACGGTAGTGACGTTTTGTTGTTATCTGTTGTGGCTGGACGGGCCCCGGGAGGTGAGGTCACAGGAGCCAGGGTGAGCCACACACACACACCTGCTACGTACATCCCCCAACAACACCGGAAAAGTGTGGCGTCGCAGGCCCGGTGACATCAGTGAGCCTTCTTCACTCATCATCATTACCGTCAGTGTGTTACCGTCGTGAGTGTGGACAACAGCGCTGCTTCACCCGGGTCCTTTTACCCCTCTCTCCTGAAGGTGCCCCCGTGTTCCTGCTTCGCATCACACACTCCAACTCCCGTGACTGAGGTGTGACCGTACGCCAGAAACAACACCACCTCGCCCACGATATAGTTCACCCTTCCATCTCAATCTTGGGTCGTATTTACCAACGCACTATGGTGAAACATCCCCTAAGAGGAAGAAATTCTGACTATTGGGGTAAAAAACACGTGGAAGTGAGGCTGGACGATGGGTTGTTAAGGCGACAGGTGAAGGTGTTAAGTACCTTCCAGCAGCCTGTTGGAGGACACACTCAGGTGAGGAGGACCGGGTGGAGGACAAACCACTTGTTGCTTGTTGTAAAGTTTGTTAATGTGTTAAGTTCTTCACTGGGAGGCCTCACTGGGGGGTCTCTGGCCGTCCAAGGAAGGCATAATATTTCGGCTATATCTGTACGTACGTCACCATTAACTCTGACACACCTTTATAAACAGATACTTACATAAAAAATACTTTATACTCACGAGAAAAAAAACATTGAAACATGGTACAGACTATCCATGGTATCTAAATGTGCCCAGAAATAGTAAGACGTAAATTTCATCGCATTTTAGGCTGGTACCTCCATGCCGATAACCTTAATTAATGCTCTTATGTCCATTTACTCATTCCTGAAGTAAAATTTCGTAAGTAAAGTTAATCCAGCAGAGTCAGTACAGGTTTGATTAGGTAAAACATAAGACGTGGCACCAAACACACTTCACTTGATTACCTACTACCCTGATGATGAGTCCACCGTCTTGCTTATATCAGACTAAAAACTCGGGCTTTAAGAAACTCTACATTATTGACGACGAAAAATACAGGCGGTAAAAGGTAACGTTAAGGTCCCGTTAATCTAGAAGACATCATGATCTCCTCGGGGCCGTGATTAGAGCGAAAGTTCTATAAATATGGAGATTTTTTTAATCGGAACTTCTTTGGCATTTTTTCTTCTAAGTCAGGACGTCGCTTAAATGAGAATCAAACCCTTTTCTTAATTGTACCTTTTTTAAGTAATTTGTTACGATTTTTATTTTTTTTACGTTTAAATGTGAGTTTTATTCTAAGTGAATGTCAAGTGTAAGTTTGTGAAATTTTATTGGGATCGTCTACTCAGGGTGAATGTTCGTTTATGTGATGCTCTTCTGTTTTAGTGCTGGGTAAGTTTAGTAAATAGTGATGTACCTATGTTTTATACTCCAGAGGTTTAATAAATAATGACGTTCTTTTTTTCGGCCCATAAGTTTAGTAAATAGTGATGATCTTATGTTCTCGTGATGATAAGTTCAGTGAAAGTAACGTTCTAAAGTTATTATGGGTATAAGGTTAGTAAATAGTGAAGATACTCTTTTGTTTTTATTTCCATAAGTTAAGTAAAGAGTGGCGCTCATATGGTTTTATCTCTGTACGAGTAAGTTGAGTAAAGAGTGATGCTTTTTTGTTTTCATCTCCATAAGTTGAGTAAATAGTGATGCTTTTTTGTTTTTATCTCCATAAGTTGAGTAAATAGTGATGCTTTTTTTCATCTCCATAAGTTGAGTAAATAGTGATGCTTTTTTGTTTTCATCTCCATAAGTTGAGTAAATAGTGATGCTTTTTTTCATCTCCATAAGTTGAGTAAATAGTGATGCTTTTTTGTTTTCATCTCCATAAGTTGAGTAAATAGTGATGCTTTTTTGTTTTTATCTCCATATGTTTAGTAAATAGTGACACACTTACCTCTTTATACTGGCGACTTTAACCAGAATTTATACTTGAAAGTTATACACTCAGATAAGTGTTTGTAAATATTGATGTTCGCGTGTTTTTACCCTGGCAATTAAACTTCGATAGAACCCTGGCGCTCTCCCGACACCAATAACTTATATACAGTCACTCGCTTCATGCTCACAGATATCTCCTTCGTTCACTTATTGTGCTTTAATTACCTCGTATATTTACTTAATGGTTCATTTATTTATCTGCGCTCGAGTATTCTCATTTTGTGTCTGGTCTTATGGTGATAATGGTGCTTGAGGATGGTGCTGAGAGTCATCTATTGGTGCACTATCTTAACGTGAGGATGGTGGCGTTGTGGAGTATGGTGGTGATGTGCGAATGTAAGGGTGGGTAGTTGTGTGTGTATGTATGTATGTATTTGGTTATGTGTAGGGGTATATTTATTTTTATGCGGTTATGAAGACATATTTCCATCTGTGTGTGTGTGTGTGTGTGTGTGTATTTACCACCATTCACGAGCAGTTCATCTCCGCCTAATCCACTTAAGATATCAAAATAAATGTCTTGCCCACCACTTGAATTCCTGGACCTCTGGTGGCTGTGTTTTGATTGGCTGGCCCGGTGGGAGGAGCTGTTTACCTGTATACATTAGTGGGTGCCTGGCAGGTGCCCCTCCACGGATGTACGAGAGGGGGTGGGGGAGAGGAAATTGAGGTCAGGTCAGAGGTCAGTGTCAGAACCCGTCATTACTGATGTTAGAGGAGGGGTGTGAGGAGGAGGAAGAGGAGGAGGACGAGGACATTTGGTGAGATATAGGTAGAAATAAAGTTAAAGAGAGAGAGAGAGAGAGAGAGAGAGAGAGAGAGAGAGAGAGAGAGAGAGAGAGAGAGAGAGAGAGAGAGATGCCCACTTTAAACACTTCATCCTGACTTTAAATCATTAATTAAATTTTTCCCCATTTAACCTAACCTAACCATTGTTGCGTCTCCCCTCCCTCCCTCCCCCTTTATTAATCTGGTACCAAAGCCAACACCTATCAAACGCCCACCCTACAGGTAAATACTCCCTGACACACCAATATAGAGTTTGTTGAAATGAATCCTTAATTATTCTGTACCAACGTTACTCAGAGGGCGAAATTTTGATGGAATTGGATCACTTACATTAACCTAACCTAATCTAACCTAATCTAATCTAACCTAACCTAACCTAACCTAACCTAGCCTAACCTCACCTCCCTCCACCCAGTGTATATAGCATTAGGTGTGTTTTAATCATCGGGTAAAATAAGCTAGGGTGGGGGCTATTCTTCAGGTGATCCAGGAAATTAACATGTATTCAGTAACTAGTTGACAGTGGGGAAGGACAGTGAACCGGGAGTTGTTTTTTGTTAGGGAGTGGTTCCTACGTCTTACAGCTGGTTGGGGTGGTTCTACTGACGTGTGGTACTGGTTGAGGTGGTTCTACTGACGGGTGGTACTGGTTGAGGTGGTTCTACTGACGGGTAGTACTGGTTGAGGTGGTTCTACTGACGGGTGGTACTGGTTGAGGTGGTTCTACTGACGGGTAGTACTGGTTGAGGTGGTTCTACTGACGGGTGGTACTGGTTGAGGTGGTTCTACTGACGGGTAGTACTGGTTGAGGTGGTTCTACTGACTGGTGTTACTGGTGGTTTTACTCACGGGCGGTAACGGGTGGTACTGGTTGAGGTGGTTCTACTGACGGGTGGTACTGGTTGAGGTGGTTCTACTGACAGGTGGTACTGGTTGGGAGGTGGTTCTACTGACAGTGGTACTGGTTGAGGTGGTTCTACTGACGGGGCAACAGTTGAGGTGGTTCACTGACAGGTGGTACTGGTTGAGGTGGTTCACTGACAGGTGCAATTGCTGAGGTGGTCTCTACTGATTTTGGCAGCCTGGTTGAGGTGGTCTCTACTGACGGGCAGTACTGGTTGAGTGTGGTTCTACCTGACGGGTGGTACTGGTTGAGGTGGTTCTACTGACGGGTAGTACTGGTTGAGGTGGTTCTACTGACGGGTGGTACTGGTTGAGGTTCGTTCTACTGACGGGTGGTACTGGTTGAGGTGGTTCTACTGACAGGTGGTACTGGTTGAGGTGGTTCTACTGACAGGTGGTACTGGTTGAGGTTCGTTCTACTGACGGGTGGTACTGGTTGAGGTGGTTCTACTGACTGGTGTTACTGGTGGAAGTGGTTCTACTGACGGGTAGTACTGGTTGAGGTGGTTCTACTGACGGGTGTTACTGGTGGAAGCGGTTTTACTCACATTAGAAGGTCCGAGGTCGAATCCCGGGATAGTTTATATCACCTTACACACACACACACACACACACACACACACTTACTTTAGGATGGAGTGGGTCGAGAGGAGGAGACACAGATAGAGTCTTAATTCATTTTTGGTCGTTATTTTATGCCTCTTTAGTATCGTAGTTGAATGTTATTGCAGTTGCATCATTGGAGTTGTGTCTCAGTGCAATTTCGTCGCCATTTGTATTTACTTCTTTAAGTGTCGTATAGTATGAGTCTTAGCGTTGTTTCGTCGCCATTTCAGAATTTACGAACATGAGATATGAGACAAGGCCGAAGTTTTTGTTGTTGTGTATACGTGAGGCGGTATCTGGTATCATCAGAGGTAAGGGAGCGGAAAGTGAGTGTTTTAAACTGGAGAGAAACTGAGTGTTGAGGAGGAGGAAGAAGAAGAAGAAGAAGAAGAAGAGGAGGGGGAGGAGGAAGAAGAAGAAGAAGAAGAAGAAGAAGAAGAAGAGGAGGGGGAGGAGGGAGGAGATGGGCACGTGTATTGGGCATAGGTGAGTTGTTCGATGTTAGATGGCGGAGTTTAGCAAATGACGTAGTTTAGATAATGGCGCAGTCTACCAAACTGCTCAGTCTATCAAAGGCTTAGTTTAGCTAATGGCTCAGTCTAGCTAATGGCTCAGTCTATCTAAGCTCCCAGTCTAGCTAATGATGCAGTTTACCCAATGGGAGCTAAGTAACAGGGATGGAAGAGGTGGGGGGGGGGACGTATAATTAATGGGGAATGGGTAGGTGAGGACGGTACTGAGATAGACAGATAAGATTGATACACAGGGAAATGGGGAAGACACGAAGGTAATGGGGTGTGGAGGAGAATGGGTGTTGTTTGACAGTCACTGGATAGATAATAGATGGGAGGATAGAACCAACGAGGGATAGAGGCAACTGGTTAATGGAGGGGTGAGGAGGGTAGAGGGTGAGTGAGGGGGATGAGGAGGGGCAGCAGACGGATGTGGGGGGGGGAGGGGTAAGAGGGGTTGGCGTTGATTTCTCTCCAGTTAGTAGGTCGTGGGCACTCCCAGCCTTCCTCTCTCTCTCTCTCTCTCTCTCTCTCTCTCCTGATTATCCATTTATGCATATTATTTTCTCTCCTTCTTTCATCCCATCCCATCCCCTGTTGTATGTCAGTTCATTTCATGGCAGGTAGGGAAGGACGGGTGGGGAAGTGGTAGGGGAAGGACGGGAGGGGGAAGTGGTAGGGGAAGGACGGGAGGGGGAAGTG